ATCTTAAAAATGTTGGAAAATATTCTCTGTAATCTAATTTTAGGAATGTTGACTATAGTAGATTTAAAATCTACTATAGTCATAGCTCTTATTTTCTGATAATGTTGTGTATGGTCAACAATACTTTCAAAAATGAGCATGTTACATAATATTTTATATACATAAAAAAAAAAAATTTTAATTATTTTTAAAATCATGATACAAAATGCTTTTTATTAAGCTTTTCAATTTTTGATTAGTAGATATAGTTTTCACTTAATAACAATATCATCTAACTAGATGAAAATTATGCAGAATTTTAAAAATTATATAATTAAAATTAGAAAAATAATTAAAACAATTCTTGTAAAAATTCATTATTCATTAAAAAAAAAATTTTTTTAAGACAATAGTGTCCTTAATAAATCTTATTTATAAAGGCAATTAAAAGCTTTCCTAATAAAAATGTCATGCTTTTATTGCATTTTTTATTTTATGATCTGGAGTGGACTTTTGTGAAAGTAGTAGGTTTTGAAAAAAAAAAAAAAAAAAAATTGATGATTTATAAGGAGACCTGCTTTAAAAATTTTGTGAAATTAAGTGTGTGTTGTATAAAAAAAAAAAAAAAAAATCAGAAATAATTTCATTTATTTGTGAAATAATTGCTCTTTGTAATGAAACTTTCATGACTTCAGCTGAAAGTTTCATTACAATCAGACAATTATTTGATTTTTGCAAAAATTTACAAGTCAATATGTTTGTCACCGCTAAAATACTGATAAATATTATGCTGACTGCTGACACACACACAAAAAAAAATTTTCAACCAAAATTTTTGAAGGATCAAAAAAAATTTAATAAATACTTTGGTCTTTATTAAGTTCAGAGCCTTTTTTTCAGCATGCTATGCTATTTTTTCAATGAAAAAGTGGAGGTTCATAATGTATCCGAAGCATCACATGGAGTGACAAAGTTATGAACACAGCTGTGCTGGAGCAACCACCTTTAATTTAATTTTATGAAAATTCAGAAAACTTCTATTATCTAATCTTTATATTAAGGACAAGTTCTTAGAGAATTTAAATCATTAAATTATTTTGGTCAAGTTACAGAAAATCTGCCCTGTATTGTAAAATAAAAAAATGCAATAAAAGCTAAGATATTATATATCTAGAAAAGTTTTTAATTGCTTTCATGAATAAAATATATTATAGACACTATTGTCTTGAGGAAGATTTTTTTTTTTCCATTGAATAATTTCTAAAGAAAGTGTTGGATTTTTTTTTATTTATTAATCTGAGAGATTTTATTACTTAAATATTATTTTTAGTAGATACAGTTTATTTATTAAACATTATCTTAGAGAAAAATATGTGCTATCTGGCAGGATCTGAACCTGCGTTTCATCAGCGGAAACTGTCATGAAATCTGACATGTTTTAGATCTCTTGGTTATGAAGTGTGTTGATGGTCAAGCAAAGCTGAATAATGCTTTTAAGAACAACAAACTCTCAAAAGACAGACATTTGTTAAGTTTCATATCTTAATGTAAACAAAGAAATTTCTAACGAAAGTGATAGATTTTTTTTTTTATTTATTAGTCTAACAGATTTTTTTTAATTTAACATTATTTTTAGTGGCTACTAATATCTGAGTAGACGCTCTGTTTATTTAATAAATAGAATATTTATTTTCATCTAACAGACTGAATATTTGAAAAGTCTCATTAAAAAAAAATTTTATATGATTTTTTTTTTTTTACAATTGTTTATATTTTTTTTAATTAGAATAATTTATAAACGTTTAGATTTTAAGACTGTATAAATTTGTAGAGGTCAAATGATATTATCATTAAATTAAAATTGTATCTACTAATAAATGGAAAAGTTTACAATAACCCTCAGTATTTTAAAAAGAAATTTGAATTGATTTAATGCAGGTACCTCCATGTTTTTGCAGGAAAAACAGCATAGAATGATGGAAGGCCTCAAACTCAATAGAAACAAAGTTTTGTCATCAAAATGTTTATGCTATTATGAAGAGGAAAGACCACAGTATTTTTTATTATTTTTAAAAATATTTTTTTTTATTAGTTAAAAACAGGACTCCTTGAAGATAGTTAATCATCAATTTTTTTTTTTTTTTGGTAAAACAGATAACCCATTCATCAAAAATCTGCTCTGAATTGTAAAATAATAAATGAAATAAAACTATGATATTATTTAATTATAAAAACTTAATTGCTTTGATAAATAACATTTATTAAGGACACTATTGTCTTAAGAAAATTGTTTTTGATGAATAATTAATCTTTACAAGAATAGTTTTCTTTTGTTTAAAAATTTTAATTAAATAATTTATAGTATAAAAAAATTGTTTAAAATTCTGCATTGCTTCAAGCCGGTGGTTTGGTGATATTGTTAAGTGAAAAGCACATTTACAAATCAAAAACTGAAACAGTCGTTTGTAACCCAATATTTAAAAAAAAAAAAAAAAAAAAAAAAAATCCAAACATTTTTAGTGTATGAATGTTCCCAATATCTACCTATGGAAGCTTTACATGACATAATCCTTAAAAAGATTACGTAATTTAAGTGTCATTTGACGCACTGCAATTTTTTCACTTCCCTTATTCAGTTCCGTTTCATCATTAAGGTCTTTACAAATCATCCTTTCAAAACTTCAAAGTAAGTTTTACTATTTTTTTTATTTACCATTTCACTAAATATTTTTATTTTAGTTTAAGATTAATTTTTTGTTTAAGTTAGTAAACTTAAGAATCTAGAGACGAAATGCAAATTTCATAAAGCATCTTGAAACCTAACAAAAAGTAAAAATATTAGATAATTTCTGAAAATATGTTAATTTGTAAAAAATTACTAGGTAGTTAACTAAAAAAAAAAGAAAAAAAGCACTCACTTAGATTTTGTAAATTTATGTCAATTCTGATTATCTATAAGAAGAGCTAGTTGATTTTTTTGTAAAATCCATACACAACATTATCAGAAAATAAGAGTGGTAACTATTAGTAATTTTCTAACATTTCCTCAACACGTATCTTTGTAAGCCAAAGTACCTAAAATTCAATAAAACATTAGAATGCTTAAAATATTCAAATTTTTTAAGATTTAAAGAGTAATAAAAAAAATTTACATAAAAAGGTTACATTGTATTCATGTAATTTTATTAGTTATCTCCTCCTTATCTAAATTTCCCAAACATCAGGCCGTTGATAGATCTCTCAACATCTCATAAAAAAAGTTAATGCTTTTATGCAATATTTAATAATATGTAATACTTGTTTAAATTCAGATTAATTAAACTTTAAATCAATTTTATCAAATGACGTTTCAGAAAGTATATTTTATTTTTGAAAGATTTTTTTAAATAAGGAGAATTACAATTTGAATTTTGTTGAGTTGGTTGACACTTGACAGGTTTGTCGGCATGTACGATTTAATGGATAATCAGAAAAAATCCTATAAATTTAAAATAAATACGGTTTGAAATATAGATTCTATTAGCTCGAAATTAAAACTAAAAGCTTAAAAAAAGGTTTTCATTTTAAAACCCCCCTTTTTCTTTTCTTTTTTTTAAGTACTTAAACGTATTGCTAAACTAGACCGTGATTGTCTTCTTGGAATTTGATTTTGATGACAACAGTTTATTCCACTGTTGGGTACCGACAGTACATTGATATTCGAACCATGAAAAAAAAAAAAAAAAAAAAAAGAATTAAATATTTCCGTGCGCACACAAGTCAGTATCAACTCAAGTTTCCTCATTTCAAAGTTAAATCCCACTTGCTAAACATTAACTTTCTAGAAACTAAAAAGTAGGTACCTTCCCAAAATAAAGGGTATTTTAATAAAGAAAACAAACAGAAAAATAATTTCTCTGCTTAACAGATTCTTAAAAAAAAAAACAAAAAAAAAAAAAACAAAACCTTTCTCCCTCAGGAATTTTTAGCAACTTGTACCAGATGTATTGTAGATAATTTAAATTTAAAGCAAGTTTAAAGTTAGTTTTATTCGAGTGTAAAATTAGAATGTTTAAGTTTATTATATTAAGAAAAAATTGAAAAACCTTTTCCACAACAAAAAGTAGAATAATTTTTACCAGACTTTTTCTAATTTCCCTTAAAAATGAGTATCTTTCAATGAGAAATTCATCCCTTTAGTTTTACTTTTAAGATATTTTTTATTTAAGAAAAAAAAGGTGTCAAAGTCAAGTTTTCTAGGAATTATTCATAATTTTTTAATTAAAAAGCAGTCACTTCTTTATGTGTACTAAAATAATTCCGAAAATTTTTTCAATTAAGTTACAAACCATAATTAAAAATTTGGGGGAAAAAAATATTAGTTGTTAAAAAAAAAAAATCAATAAACATGTGTAAAAAAAAAAAAAGATAACATGAAAAATGAAAACTCGTTCGACAAGTGGTTTTTTTACTGAACCTTTGAGAGGAAAATAGGAACATTAAAGCGTACATGAGCTAATTTTTAAATGTTGTTTCATCGTTTTTCATACTAATCATCAATATTCCATCCAGTAAGAATTTTTAATTATAATAACATAAGGCTGATCGTCAATCATTATCGCCGAACGGAGTGCTGTTACTGCAGAACAAAATTAATACAATAAATGGCGATACTACCTGCAAATAAACAGCATTGTCGGAAATATACTGTCTAGGAACCATGTGATGCATTTCTGAAAAATAATTGCGAGAGAAGAAACAGAAGAAGCGTAATGTTTTAGGGAGAACGTATCAAGGCCAGAAATAATGGTCCGTCTCCTAAACATGCGTTTTACGTTGTCAAATCTGCACTCCTTCCGGACCACTTATAGTAAAGACAGACATTTCTCTAATAATGTATTCAGTCTGTTATTATGTTCATTGAGTCATCAACTTTGTTAATATATTTATTGTTTTTTAAACTTTTCTTCTTTCATGATTTTCAAAGCAAACTCAGTAATTTTTTTTTTTTTTTAAATAAAAAAAAAAAGTATTATATTTACCTGTGGGGCGCTCAGTGTGTTCATTTTTAAGGAACAAAATACAGTCACCGGAAACAAATAGCTCGGAGTGAATAGGGTTTCCTGTTAGTATTTTTTTTTTCCCTTCTTCTTCGATGATAATTCAAATGAATCGCAATTATATTAATCGAATAATGATTTAAAAAAATGATTAAAATATGATTAATGTGTTTTATATTTTCATAGTGATTTATGTTGAAAGATTTTTATCCAATAGATAAAGCAAGAAGCTTTGAATGAATGTATTCGCTGTTTAAGAAATTTTAATTCCTTTCCTACATTTAAAATTAATTTGATAAATCTGAAATTATTAAGAGGCGTGTACTTTTCTGTCATTTTAGACATCATATCGTAAAAATATAGTATTTATATGGAAAAGCTTGAAATATTGACACAAACTCAAACAGAACTATATCTTCGAAGTTGCGCTACGAAAACGATCCGGAGTGAATGAGAAATGAAGAATTAAAAAGAGTTAACTAACAATATTTGCTGAATTAAATAAAAAGTACATAATAAAAATTCAAAATTTGAATTCGTATCAATGTAAAAATTTCAATATGCATTGCATTATTTTAAGAATTTAAAATACATTTTCAGTTACTCATTAAAATTTTATAACGAAATTAAATTACCTTATCCAATACATAAATGAAAACTTACTTTCGTTTAAAAAGAATGGTGTAAAAAAGAAAAGATAAATATAATTTTTATTTTGTATGCTTTTCATAAAAAAATAAAAATACCGGAAGTAGGAAACAAGATAAATTGAAATGAAACTAGAGAGGGTTCACTCATTATTTTCACAAGGGAAAATAAGTAATGATTCATATTTTTTTATTTCTTGTACCAGATAAAAATTTTAAATAATAAACAAGATTTAAAACGTACTAGTTAAATGTATATTTGGTCTCTGAATGTAATTTTTTTTCGACTAATGAGTACTACTGAAGAAAGCAATCGCTCTTCTTCTCGCCATTCATTTTAATGTCTGTTTTGGTGTACCGAAGAAGGGAGATGGATATCAGGACTTCTCTTCCGACTGTTCCCTCTTCAGGATATATATGGCTTTATAATTGGAATATTCAGATCCAATTAAACATCTAAAAAGGTAGCCATAACAGAATTGGATTGGAGACTTAAAAATAACAAAATTAAAGCATTTCTGTGATGTCTGGGACTGGTCGTAATGATACACAGAAAACTAAAATAAACAAAAAGTATCACAACCATTTTATTTATAATTTATTATTTAGATATTGTAAAAATGATTTTAAAAATATAATATTAAGCAAGAATAATGAGATAAAATACCTGCACCAAAGTGATGTGCTTTATTTTCTTTATTAAAATGAAATCACCGAGTAAGGTTTATCTCGATTGTTTACGAAGAAGAGTTTTATTAATTTACTACTTAATCTTACAACATTTAATTTTCTACCTTGTGAACTTTATTGTAAAATCCGAGTGATATTATTTATTTGGAAAAACAAGAATCAACAATTGAAATAAACGGTCAGTTAAGGTAAGTAAGTATTTATTTAATAATGCACTATGATTCTTAGAACAAGTTTCTTTTTGTTTTCAGGTGTTTAATTTTGCATGCGAGAAAAAAAGTAAAACAATTGAACATTAAGCAAACATTTTATTTTTAAAAACTTTTAAATTTAATTACAATCATTTCTTCATTCAAACATTAAAGGAAACATGACGAATTGTTTATCTTCAATTCTCAAATAAAGATGTTTTTGTAAAATCTTAATATTCGCCATAAATCATTTTAAAAATACAATCTACCCAGTTTTAGTAATTTTTAATATTTATTTCTACGCATAATACTTTTATGTTGCAATTTTAAAAATAATTCAACATAAATATCCTCGATCATGGATGCAGATAAAGAATAAACTCTAAAAAACAGAAGTGGAAATAAAAACAACTTTATTTAAAAGTAAAACATTTTTTTTACACAATGATGTCATTTTTAACAGAACTTAATGATTCACACTGATGACAATATGTTTATTAAATTAAATTAAATGTTTTATTTTTTATGTTATATGAAAATGGTAAATTAACTTTCACATAGAATCTGTTTTGTGAATTCATCTGTTTTTGTTTTTAATAAATTAAAATTGACAGTGTACTGTAAAATGAACCAAATTTTCTGTTTTTATTATAAAAAGTATCAGAAAGCAATTTAATTGGTGATTCATTGCATTTGATTTCAGAAATAAAAATAAACGTGATTATGATGCTAGAAAAATTATCTCCTTAAAGAAAAATATCGTGATTGAAAATGAAAGAAAAATATGGTGATTGAAAATGAAAGTAAATTAAATTAAAAAATTCAAACTTGACCCGTATTTCTGGAGTTTTGATGGAAAAATACAAAAGTTAATAAATAAAAAATAAATCAATCTTTCTTTTAAAACAACCCTAATACCAACAGTACAGAGTACAGGCTTAGACGATTCATATCGCAAATAAAGTTTTAAAAAAGAAAGTGTTTAGTAGAAAAGAAATTATCTTTTAATTTTACACTTTAAAAGAGAAAAAAATTCGTATTCTGAGTTTTTCGATTATAAATTGAACTCTGTCTTTATAACCAAGCATTTATTTTCCCGAAAAATTCTTATATATTTTTAAAAAGTTAAGAATTTAAACAATAACTGAAAAAAAAACGTATTCTTAAAATATCGTAATCTTCCGTCAAACAAAAGTTTAATTATTTCTTATCTTTTACGGTACTGTTACGAAAACCCAGCGAGAAATGTTACCATCGTAAATTAAATCAAATTCTAAACTCTACAAAAAAGAAAACACGAATTAGAGAGAAAGTAATAAAGACATTTAAATTATAACATCTCCAATCTCTTGTAATATTGCAAAAAATTGTGAACTTTTCTTTTCCTTAATCTATAAACGATCACTTGTTGTAAATTTATATAATTGATTGATTAATGGAAAAAGTGGTCAAGAAATAAATTGTCTAGCTAGATCTGCTAAAAATAAGACCTTCAACAAACTTGTCCCAAAACATTAAAAACAAACAAAACAGCTGTTTGTGTTACAGTTGTTGTTATATTGAAATGAAGAAACTGTTTTTTTAGTTAGTGTTGTTTGATCTACCAGAGAAGAACTTCATCTTTTTTTTTAATCGATTGTGTGAAAATAAATACACTTATTATTTATTTATTGAACTAAAAAAGCTTTATAATTACTATTTAATAAGACAAAAAGTAGTAGATTTGTTAATTAAATTCTTCGATAATTGTTATCATCTACTTTCTTTCTCGAATAAACTTTTCACTAAGATTAATTATTTTATTTTTACATCTAAGAAACGAAAAAGGAGAAAACTAAAACACCGATGGTGGCAATATCCAGTTGAATTTTTTTCTTACACAATTTTTTAAAGCCTATGAAAACGAGTTCTACTAATTTGGAAGTCGGACTTTAATGTTGGGAATATATTTTCCTATTGTCCTGCTTTGTCATTTTTGGTCATCCATATTTACTTCAGGTGACCCATTGAATGCTCGTAAGCGGGCGTTATGTAAGGAAAACTGACTCAGAGCCCATTTGGTTTATAACAAACAATCCATGTCGTTAAACTAAAGAAAAAAAGTGTATTTTTTTTAAGAAAATTATTTTATTTGTGTGTGTTGTGGTTTGGATGAATATGAACTTTAGGCTTTTAAATAATGGAAATAATTTTCGGAGGTTGCTGATTCGGCAAGTAAGCATACTTAACAAAATAAATACATAAAAATTAAATAATAATAATTTCATATGTGCCAACCAAACCCTTTCTTAAAATACTTGGAAAGAGAAACATTAACGTTTGTACTTAACATCTCGTAATTTAAAAAAAAAATGGCATGCCCCTTCAGAAAGTAGACTATTCATGACTCTCCACAACATTATGTTCATTTTCATCTTGGAAAAGAAACTGGAGTAGTTTTGAATTCAATGTATGTAATCCTCCTTCTCTAATTGCCACCTCAGTCTGATCAGCTATTTAACCCACAGGTTGGAGGGAGAGACAATATGGATTCATGATTTCTCCCCAAGAGCATTAGCGCAGAGTGAATTTTACAGAGTGAGTTGGTTCTATTTTCAATGATAATCAATCCTTACGCTACACTACAGTAGTAAATCCAATCCACCTTCTAGTAAAAAAGAAGAGGAAAAAAAACTGTAAGAAGTTGGTTTGGGTTGCTTAAGAAGGATTATTAATTGATATTCAAACACTGATAAACAAACTGTTTCTATTTTTTTGCATTTAGGGTGTAGGGGTTTGGAGGACTATTTGTTTAACAATTTCTATTTACTCTCTAAAATACTCTTTTTAAAATTATTTACTGAAGAAAAACATTAAACAGTTTCTCAGTGTCTGAATGATAAACAAAATCAACTTCTTGTGGCCTCTTTTTTTTATATACATTTTTTTGTGTGTGTAAAATTTTACCAGCCAGTTCTGTAATATAATTTCTGGCACATAATGAATAAGGCATGTCTAGTTAGATTTCTTGTCATCATTTGAAGCAATTTTTTAATACTACCTTTTTAATTTTTGTCTGTTGTATAAATTTAATGAGGCTTTTGACTTCTAATACTTAAAGTCACTTCAAGTATTTCACTTCAATGAAGTGAAATGAGTGAATTTTGTATACAATACACTTAAATTACTTCTTATGTTAACAACATCAAGTAAGTTTTAATTCAAGAGTGAAATAAATAATAATAAATTCATTGGTTTTTGAATGTTTAGTTACATATTCACATATTTATCTGCTGTCACTTTCTCAGTGGATTGGTGGTGGGGGGTTATTGGGGCAAAAGTATATATTAGTATATAGGGGGCAATCCTGTTCCATTACATAATCATAAGTAAATATAATCTTTTTATATAGAAACTTTAACATAAAGTTGGTTAGCTGGAGTTACATAAAACATTTGTACTACACTGTTATACTTTTATGACTTATAAGTGCCTGTTG